TCTTTACAATTTAAAAACTCCTTGAAAAAGTTTTTTTTTGCAATAACGGACCCTATTTGCACAAATTCATAAAAGCGGACCCTGGTTGAAAGAATGTGAGTAATTTTTTCACAATTTCTCGAAAAACGGACCTTTCACAAAATGTCTGGACAGACCCCTGCATGGAGAGGAAGATCAAGAGAACCTCTCGCGGTTAGCCTGTCGGCAAAGGGAACTCTAACCCATGATCCGCCAGCATTGTGATCGGCGCGAGCTGGGAGCGGAATTCTAATCGACCAGCCACGGCTGGGATTCGAACCCGGTTCACCTCCTTGGACTGGCGGATGCTCCATCCCCTGAGCCATCGCGGCTCTTTAAAGAATATTACATGACTAAAAAAGAATGAATTGTACTTACAGGAATAATTTGACCGCAGACACCTTTAGGCTCAAGTCGGGTGAAGGAAAGGATGTCGCCGTCTGTAATGGAAATATTAGTATTACAAAACCGTGAAACAGGATGAAGGTTACAAGATTTTTTGGAAGAAGGTTTGACAAGATTATCGATAGAATTATGTTACATTTTAAACTATTCATGAACATCATTGAATAAAAAAAAAATGTCATTTAAAAGCAGATTCCGATTAAAGAAACCCCATAATGATAAGCCACACTTTTTTTACATACATATGATATGCACACATCAAACAAATGGGTTCCTCTTCCGAATACATAAGAGCTCACGGGAAAACACCCTAATCTTCTGGTTTTGGATTGGGTTGAAAATGACAAGGCTTTCTGAGTGGATCGTCTCCAAATTGGGTCGGCTGTTCAGCTACGGTTATAAAATAAAGAAAAGAATCAAGTGAAAGAATCATTTTTTTAATGTGTCCTATTTCAACCAGAATGGACACTAAAGACGTCTGACCAACCCTGAACATGCGCCTAGTCAGCTATGGCAGAAATGTCACCTTTCTTTGACCCGGGTCAGACGAAGTGGAGTGGTATGCATCTGAACTGGTATTCCTCCGTCCAAACCACAACCAGCGAGAGGTATATCAGATCTAACAGTCACTTTGCCGCGTATACGAGCAACACCTCCTAGAATAAGGAAGGCCTCAGCACGGATCAATTTAGTAGTCCGATGTGACGAAGTTAACTGCGCAGTTGATGAAAAATAAGAAAGATGTCATTACGTTCGGGGTACTAAGCTGCGCAGTGTTTGAAAATACGAAATATGTCATTACATTTGGACTACTAAAGGATATTTATGGTAACCCGTGCAGAGGCCTACTCTTTTCTAGGAGGTGTTGATACGAGCCGGTTATTTAAACGGCTATCGGGATCGAACTCACAACCGCCGGCTCTCCACCGGCGGAGCGCAAGAAAATAAATGAATTTCACCCGTGGATCTGTGGGAGATATGGAAAATAATTAGAATTCGATAACATCTTTATTGCGTACACCAAAATCGTTTTTTTTTTTTTTTTTTTTTTTGAGAAAGTGAGAGTGGTTTATCATTATATTGCCTTCATGAGAGAAAGGATGATGTTACCTGCAGGTATGGTCTTTCCATGAAACTTATCTGAGTAACCAGCATAATATTCTAGGGTTGCGATGGCAGCTTGGATATCGAATTCAGCTTCTACATAGGGTTTTCCATTGTCTAGAACTTCTAAACTCTAAGGGAGGAGTCATTCATTTTACAATTTTTTTAAAGCAATAGATATAAAACAAACAGTCAAAGATGGAACGTAAAGGATTCAAAAATAGAAAAAAAAAGTAGTATAGTGGTCATGATAGAAGCATACTTTTTTTTACAATTTGTATTCATTATACATAGGAAATGATGCATGACATATTGCATACGGCTTATTTGTTTGAAAAGTAAAATGTTTTTATTTTACCTATCAATAAATTGTTACGGTTTCCTTTTCGCTACATTCTATGAAATCTTTTATGCGTAACTATTCAAATTTGAATGATGTTCAAGAAATAGTATGGATCTAAGATTTATATCATTATACTAGTGTTATTTAACCCTTCGATCGTGTGGTCGCTCTCTGTACTTGACCACCTATTGAGTCTTAACAAAATACGACCGAAAAAGCAATTTTTCAGATGGCTAAGGAAATTTTCTTTACGAATTTTAAGTATTTTCTTAATCAATACTCATTGGCCCTAATGTAGTGTATGATAAACAATGACTGAAGAAAAAAATTTAAGCGAACTGAAATCGAAATATTTTAAAAATGCTGTCATCAATCAATCCATTCATTTGTTATGCCACATTTTAGTACAGGAATGTTTGACACTGTGTTATTTAATATGAATGAATGTTTCTGTGCTTCCAAAAGTACCAATACATCTATAATGTTAAAAGGAGTGACTGCGATTTAAAACACGCACAGACTTTCACACAATGTTGATATCCGTTGATTCAAAACTGAGAATTCGACCCAATTTTGAGTTGACGACACCCATGTTCAACTTCGTAGATGTGTCATTTTGAACTCAATCCAGAAGACAAGGGAACTCCTGTAGAAGAAATTTGCCTTCGTAGAGGACGTTTTGATGGAACTAATTCTCATTTGTGTTACATGGAAAGGAAAACCACGAAAATCTCCCGCGATTAGCGTGATGGAAAGGAGACTCTAACCTAACCCATCATTCGTCAACCCATGAAAATATTTTAAGTCCATAGCTCCGATTGCCGAAATCCAACTGCTAAATGGAGATTTTTGACAGCCCGTCTAGCACATTCTGTATCAATTCGCGTCTTGCTACATTCCTTCGTAGCACTTCTTTTATTCCTTCGACGCATCATTTAGCACTTTTGCATTCCTCTGCTTTATTAACCCATTGCGGTGGGAACGCCATAAAGTTAATAAGAATTATGTGGAAAATAAATGATGTCGTCTCATTAAAAAAATGACCACGTCTTAGACAAAAAAAAAAAAATCATCTCTATTATCTGAAATACAAATGCGTAGAGTATCAGAAACCGATTTAATTTCTTTTCCCACCTTAACAACAACACAGTTAAGCAATAAATCGGGCAGAAATAAATAGTAAAAATCATCCAACAAACGATACTATTTTTTCTTTAATTAGGTTTATTAATGTATGCGGGTAACATGATATACACTACCGGTCAAAAGTTTGCGAAAATTTTGAAATCTACAAAGAAAAGGTCTAAATTCAAATGTTCACAGAACTGCGAAAAATCATTCAAATTGAGTGAAAATTTGATATGTTCTAAAGTGAACCCTCTACAGTTAGTTACATATGATCAAATTGCAATACTTCGTTTTTTGCGAACTGAATCCAGCTTTTCATCATGGGTTGTTTCTATGGTGAAAAAAGTTGATAAGTTTGAACACTTGCCAAACTTGCAAAAAAAAAATTTTATTCTTTCTGTTGATAGAAAATAGTTATTTGAACCGTTCCATGTAAGCCCTCAAAATTTCAGATCGATTTGATTCTTTTTGACGAAGTTATAGAATTTTGAAAAATATGTGTACTTTTTTCGATTTCTGAGCATTCCACATATGCGGTCTTTTGGTNACCTATTGAGTCTTAACAAAATACGACCGAAAAAGCAATTTTTCAGATGGCTAAGGAAATTTTCTTTACGAATTTTAAGTATTTTTTTAATCAATACCCATTGGCCCTAATGTAGTGTATGATAAACAATGACTGAAGAAAAAAATTTAAGCGAACTGAAATCGAAATATTTTAAAAATGCTGTCATCAATCAATCCATTCATTTGTTATGCCACATTTTAGTACAGGAATGTTTGACACTGTGTTATTTAATATGAATGAATGTTTCTGTGCTTCCAAAAGTACCAATACATCTATAATGTTAAAAGGAGTGACTGCGATTTAAAACACGCACAGACTTTCACACAATGTTGATATCCGTTGATTCAAAACTGAGAATTCGACCCAATTTTGAGTTGACGACTACCCATGTTCAACTTCGTAGCTGTGTCATTTTGAACTCAATCCAGAAGACAAGGGAACTCCTGCATTAAGTATTGGAAGAAATTTGCCTTCGTAGAGGACGTTTAGATGGAACTAATTCTCATTTGTGTTACATGGAGAGGAAAACCACGAAAACCTCCCACGATTAGCGTGATGGCAAGGAGAAAAAAAAAATATCATCTCTATTATCTGAAATACAAATGCGTAGAGTATCAGAAACCGATTTAATTTCTTTTCCCACCTTAACAACAACACAGTTAAGCAATAAATCGGGCAGAAATAAATAGTAAAAAGCATCCAACAAACGATACTATTTTTGCTTTAATTAGGTTTATTAATGTATGCGGATAACATGATATATGAGAGGCATATTTTAGTTTCAAGGTTCCTTCAACGAAGGAAAAAGACCCGTTTCATCAACGGTTGCTCATGAATTCGTTTTTAATTTCTTTATTATTTTTTTAAAAAACTTATCAGGGTAAAGTGTCTTTATTTTTAATTTTCTTTTTTTTTTACTACGCTTTATTCTTCTTTATTTTCTAATTTTTCTTCTTCTTTAGTTTCTAATTTTCATGAATTATTTGTTCTAAATGTAATTCTAAAATAACATTGAAAGAGTACAAATGAAATCGTAATGGAATGACAGGTAAATGGAATTGAAGAAAAAAGGTAGTTTCATAAGAAAAGGGAGTAGTTTACGGTGATGTAGTCGAAATCTCTCTGGATCAAGTTGGCCAATTTGAGAAGGAGTCTGCCCCGATTCGATGCATCCATTGTTCTCCAAGTAGAACCCAGTTTGAAAGCCTTTCTACCTGCATCCACAGCCTTGTCCACATCGGCCTGAAATACAGATGATTAGATTGAGAGAAAGAAATTATGTTACTGTCACAGAACAAATCGTAGCCCATTTAGGTCCGTTTCTTGTTAAAATCTATTAAGAATCTTTCTAAACCAAATCGTATGTCGGACCAAAACTTATTCCTGAGAAAACAATATTAAAGTACAAGATAAATTTTCTTATTCATTTAATTTTATTTCTCTTTAAGTTGTAAAATTAAAACTGTGTAACAAAAGAACCACTTGATCCAAAAGAACGGAAATTTCAACAGTATATGCTCCCAAAGCAATCAAATTGATTAAATAAAGCTTTAAATCAAACCGATAGATGACGCTGTCAGTTAACAGAAATTAAGAATATCGTCAACAAGGAAGATCTCTGAGAGAAAGAAAAACTTCCTTGCACATATCAAAAACATATACAGACTGCAGTAATTAGTAAAATAAACCTACGATATATGCAGCATAGATGTGTAGTGAAATTGTGACTTTAATGCACATAAAATACCATGTTTTGATGCGATTTTTATGTTTTATTTATTTTTGCATAAGAAAAAGAATTCCCATTGCTTTGGAAGCAAAACTCTTGAAATTTCAGTTTATTTAATGTTTCTAAATTTCTCGTGATTTTCTCTTCTGACTGTCATAGAAAAATAAGTCATTTGCTGAGTTAAGTGGTCGAGAATCTGAGAATAATTTATAATTATTTCAATTCACTTCAAATGATGAGAATTCCCCTCATGAAATGCATGCGGTATGCAAAATAATTTTGTTGTTACGTCGATAGGGGGATAGCTCGGAAAGAAAAGAAATGAAGACTTACTTTATCTGCTTCCTGAACATCACAGATCTTGTCTCCAGTTGCAGGATTAAAGGTGGGGAAGGTTTTTCCACTTTCCGAATTATGCCATTCGTTGTTGATGAAGATCTAAAACAAAACATTTTAACAAACATATTATACATCTTTCAAAGAAAGAAAAAAAAAAAACTACTGTTACGGAATATGTCCGCCCAGCGATGCGAATTTCGATGTCGTAACTGAAAAGCCGTGAAATGAAACATTTTTGCACAGAGAAGTATTTAACAACATTTAGATAACAAAAAAATTTTAATGCGGTTATTACTTATTTCTTCTTCTTTTTTTTTGCGATTATTTTTTCTTCCACGCACTGGATGACTGGAGATTGAACGAAAAATTTTTTTTTAGTTTCTACAAAAAAATTTAAATTATTTTTGAATTCATTAAATTTTAAAATTTTATTGTTTTTTTTTTCACAAAATTCAAAATTTCAACAAAATGTGACAATATTTTATAAATTATACCTTTTTTTTTAATTTTTCTTACCTATTTTGATGTTTACTTTTGCTCAGTACTTTTTATTTAACCTGCATCAATAGTCAGATAATAATAATTAAATAGTTTAAATAGTGAGAAAACATGGAAAATAATAAAGATAAATTAAAAGAGTAGAAGAAAAATGATAAAAATAAAATTTTTTTAAAAAAACATTTATAAAAATTTTCATGTAAATTTAAAAAAAAAAAATTTAAATTCCATAAAACAAAATTTACATATACAAAACATGTATACAAAATGGTTGAATGGTTTTTTTTAAACAATACATACTCTCCCTACTACATACATATCAAAATAATTTTTTCCCTGTCAATTATATGGTTACCTGTGTTTTAAATTAAAATTTTTCTCTTTTCATGCCAGTCTTCTTCAATTGTTTTGTTTTTGAGCTCGCTCGTGGCGCCATCTAGATGTGTCGAACCTTACAGGAAGCCTTTCTTACCGCTCAGGATAAAGAAATGTTCAATCATAGATTTTGTAACATAAACGTTCTCTCCTTGTTAAATGGTCCGTACCTTATCCTCTTATTCAACTTTAAATTGAATCTTTTTTTAATCTCCATAGTGATGCTTTTAAAGCAAAAATTGGAAACGTTCTTTGAAATCTTGATAAACAGGGTGATTCTAGCATAACTTTAAAGAACATACAGTGAAATGGATTCAATTTTTATCTTTTCCTAAATGGCAACACATCTTTTTTACATCGAAACTTAAATTGGAGTTTAAGACCCCAAGTTTAACATGAAAAATGACGAGGCATTTAAAAAAATTTATGTCTTTATAAATTTAAATATTTTCACAACATGAAATTTTAAATAAATGACATTGAATATTTACAAATGAAAAAGATGCGAAGCATAAATTTTAGTTCTAATATTCTTAAATAAAATATACAAAAATTTCTTATGCATAAATGGAATCGATGATTTCTTAAACATTCTGTTCCTCGGATTTTCGGATTGCGGTTAACGAAAAAACCGGAAATCCGGATTTTTTCGGGAGTACAATCATCTCTGTCATTGTAAACTATCTCCGTATTATAATTTTTGATTTAAAATCCTTTTATTACTTTTTTTAGAAGAAAAAAAAACTTAACAGAGGCATGCAAACGAACTAGTGAAAATGTTTCTTTAATAAGGAGTAGAATATAGGGCCAATTTGAAATGATGACCCACCGCACAGCGCAGGAGATATATTTATAATTTTCAAATAATTCATACATATCTCTCCCGGACATTATTTTATTCCACTTCGTCGAAGAGTACGTTTTTCAGGGGCTCTGTGTTACAGGCTGGCAATGTACAAAAGAAAACAATCAAATTGTTTAGAAGAAGATAAGGGGAATCGATAGATAAGACAATGCTTTTTAAAAAGAGGATATTTCTGTGATGACACAGCCAGTAGATAATCTCGGTCGAGAAACAAGATAAAACTAGAAAAGTACAAACGGAAAAATGAAAAAAAAAAAAAAAAAAAAAAAAAAAAAAAAAAAGAAAAANTCGAGAAACAAGATAAAACTAGAAAAAAAAAAAAAAACGGACAGAACTAAAAATGTACACTTAGAGATGTTTTAAAAGGAATCTTTTGCATATTTAGATGGAATTACTTTATCCAATTATTGAGGGCGGCAACAGGCGAAAAGGGTCCTACCCTAGTTTGGTCAAGAGAGAGGTCCTAAGTTAAAACCCCATTATGTTCATTTTATTTCTTTGCGAAAGGAAAAGTTTTTGCGCACAAGTATAAAATGTGCATATGCAAAGTTAATTTTCTGCAAAAAATAACTTTCAGTCATTTTTTTCCTCTTTTTTTTTATTTAGGAAAAGTCGAAAAAATTTTGAAAATACAACATTTGTGCAAAATAGGTCAAATAGTTCCAGCGAAATAAAATTTTTAAAAAATTCATAGAATTTACACGTCATAAAAAAAAAAAATAAAAAAAAAAANAAAAAAAAAAAAAAATAAAAAAAAAACTTCTACCCCTTCATTTTGGGAGTCGAAAATCCGAATCCGTCAAGAAAAAGGTACTAAAGGTTTTAGAAAAAGTACGTTTTTGTGTCTGTTTTCGTAGCTTAAAATAGGGTCTGCCCTAAATCATTAGCATATTTAAAGTCTTCCCTCGAACCATTAAGATTGAGTCCCCTAGAATTTGAAGATCCGATCATTAGATCAGAAGTTATTCAGGGTGTTCCGTTAATTTATTTTTCAGCGCAATGCATAGTCTGATTAAATACATAACAGATGTAATCGTTCGGTTATTCTTTTAGTCAGTAATGGATCAATCTGGATTTGGAAAAATATACAAAAGACTCATTCTAAAACATCTATCACTATTCACTATAACACATTTCTCACTCTGTTAATACATTCAACACATTATCATTTATTAACTAAGATATTCTGCAATATTAAACACGTTTATTTCGTTTTCATTTATTATTTGTATTAATTTTTTTTTTTTTTTTAAGAAAATACCTTTAAAAGTGACGTTTTCCTCTCGTAAGGAGAACAGAAATCAGATGATTTGAGAAATTCTGATTTGCTTCTTAAGAAGAAAATGCTGCCTCGACATTTATGTTTCAAATACTAGTTCCAAAAATTTAAGTAGGTGTGGTCATGAAAACTCTTTTTTTAAAATACTATATATCTTGGCCAAGCTATATATATTTTTAAGAAAAAACGCAACACTACTTACCGACAAAAGTAAGGACAGAATGGAGACTGCCCAGGACACGAACTAAGTAGGAAATCAATTAAAACAATTTAATGAATTCCCATCCTATGAGAGATACTCTGACGTGTGAAAGAAATGTTTTTTATGACCGACACTTTAGGAAACCGAGAATTGATTTTCAACAATCATTTCGCAAAATAAATAGAAGCGACAGCTGAATCACTTTTAATCTAATAATTGGATTGACACGTACACTCTTAACGCTCAGAGATGGAAAGAACAACACGCATGAGAACAACATGCTTAAATTATCGTCTGATTGATAATTAAAGAATATACTTTCTCTGAATAAATGTACTTTTACCCGACGGATTCTTGAAATTCAAAATATGCGAATGAGCCCACCATCCTGAATATAGGATCTCAATAGTTAAATTAGAAAAACGATCGGAATTTTGAAAAATAGGTTCTCCCCCCCCTTTTTTTTTATTACAACTGAATAACAAAATGGCGACAGCTTCTTTACACCAAAGAGTGTAAAAGAAAGCATGCTTGGTGTTTCGCGGCACCGAAAACCAAATGTTATGCATGGTGTTTTATCACACCACTTGGGTGTATTAAGTAGTTGCCACCATTTTTGGCGAAAAAATACACTAAAAATTTTTTTTACAGTGTAAGGGTTCAAATCGTTCTTTAGGGGCCGTCGTACAAACTTTGCATGTTGGGAACTTTTTAATTTAAGCTTGGTCTTGTTTCAGTAATTCTAGTATTGGAAATTTAAAAAGGCACAATGTTATCGATGTCTAATGTGAGAATTATTGATTGGTTAAATTATTTTAGTAATTACCACGATACCCTGAAAGAATGCAATTACAGGTTTGAAGATATAAACTATCCATGGGCACGACTACAACAACAGGTTGTAATTACCGAGTTTTTACATGTTTAACATAGATAATATAAAATATATAAGTTTCCTTAATTTAAATTCATGAGAAAACTGCAAGGATTTGGAACGAGAAAAGATTCGTCTATTTTTTTTTCGAAGTTCTTATGGGCAGAAGAAAAGAAAAAAATCATAGATTGGTATTTATACCTCCTAAGGAATACGATGTTCTTTCATTGACTTAAGAATTTATTATTATTTTTTATATATTACTTGTTTTTTCTTCAACAAAGATGAGCAAGTCAATTACTCAAAATTTTGAGAGGTAAATAAATTTTCCTACTTATTTTGCGATAAAAGAAAAAGATTAGAAAGAATTTTTGAAAATATTTTAAAGTGCGATGAATTTTCAAGCAAATCGAAATTACCTTTTTTTTTAATTGTCATGTCTATTAACATCGAATTTAAACTTTGAAGTTGCTTTTGCTGCGAGCTGCAACCGTTCTTTTTTATTATGAATTTAAACGTAAATAATTTTCGAGCTAATTAAGAAATGCAAGAATTTTTAATTTCATAACCATCCCTATCATTTATCTATAAACCCGTATAAAATTTGATATTTTAGTTTCAGAAAAAGGAAAACAATTTATTTTTCTTTTTTTACGGCAGCACTCATTCTTTTAAAATAGATACAATAGACTTTTTTCCGTAAGTAAAACTAAAAAAATCACTAATTGAAGATAAGGTAGTATAAAAAATGATATTTTTAAGGTCATCATAAGGTCACTTATTTCTTCAAAAATTTTTTGTTCTCGTATCGGAGTTTGTCCTCGTTATCTGATAGTTTCAACATTAGAAAACGCCTAGAAACAAAAGGAGTCCCATAAAATTATTCTAAATATAGCTTCCTCCTCTATTTATCCTTTCGAATAATATCCTTGAATGGAACAAGAATAATAAGAACATTAAAAGTTAAAACTACTTTAACCATTTTTATTTATTTGAGGTTGATTAAGGAATAAAACTCCGTTGCAGCAGGAGTTTATTTCAGTCTTGTAAGCAACATTATAAGTATTTGTTGTAGTGACTTCCATAAATTTAGTTCTTTTTTTAAATGAATTAAGCAGTCATGCATTCAAGTCAACTTCTAAAACTTAATTTTTGAACAAAATTAAAAATTCGTTTATCTAAAAACAACTCTATTCATTTTTTTCAAAAATAATAATAAAATAAATAATATATTGCCTTATTTTGTAATGATTGAACAGTTTTGGATTTTAAGCTACAATTTTTCTCGTAGTGTAAGCAAGCCATTTTAAATCTCTAATATAAAATAAGTGGCACGAATAAAAATTATTTTTGAGAAATCAAAATAAAAAAACAAGTAAGGTTAAAAAAAAAAAATAAAGTCAACTCCTATTTAGGCCTACAAAGAATAAATTTGTTTCAGTTACTTTTCATTAAATAATTTAAAAAATTTCACCCACATAAAACTAATATTAATTAGTGAAATTTATGTAATGAATTAATAGTTGAAAAAACTGTATTAACATCAAGTGTCATTCACTACAATTTATAAAAAGTCTTTGAATAACGATTAAAAATTTGAACAAGATATGTAAATATATATAAGGAGAGTGTGAACTAATAGAAGGAATTGAAAAGAAAAAAAAAGGCACGTTGTATCAGACAACTATAGAAGTATAAATTGGGTAACGTGGACCACACGTGCTACCACGTAACGTTCTTTATTGAATTTATCTGACACACCGAACATAAAATAATTAAATACTTAACAAACTATTTTTGTGCGCAATAAACAATTTTTTTCGTTCGAGCTATAAGTTAGAAAAAAATCACTGATGTTATTTTTAAAATATGTGATAAACTGAATCGTTTATAGAAAAATTTAAAACAATAACTCACGCTTAACCCATCAGAAAATTCTATTCCGTTCTTCGCTCATTTTCATTTAATGTATGAATTAATATTTTATAAAACTATAATAAAAAGCATTTTATTAACTATTGAAAATTTGAACAAGATATGAACTAATAGTAGGAATTGAATAAGATTTCCAACTGAACAGTTGAAAATATTTATGTAACTGACCTCTGAGTTCAATTCTCATTTTAACCGAAGGGCTACTCTTTAATGTGCTTCCTATGCAATAGTATAAGATGGAAAAATATAAAAATAAATTAATACAATGTTTTTATATAATTTATTTTTATATTTTTCCATCTTTTTTTTTTTTTTTTTTTTTTTTTTTTTTTTATCAAGATGAGAACATCTAAATATATTTTTGTTATTCGTACACATGTCATTAAAAAACGTGGTCAAAGTTTACAAATAAAACGTGAAATCTATTCTGGAACATGTGCTAAGTTTTGGAACTGCTAGCATAGGGCTAGACAAGGAAGTATGGTAAAAGGTGACACTTAGTGGCAAAGGGGGGGGGGGTTAAAAATATTGAAAAAGGTGTTACATAATAAAAGAAAATAATTTTTATTCCTTCGCGATTTTAGAAAACAAAACTAAATCTAAATATCTTCAATAACTGTGAAAACAAAATATATGCAAATTAATATCTTTTCACGAACCGATGTTTGTTTGCAACGTGTGTTTAAAATATTGCTAGTCGAAAAAAAAGGGGAGGAAAAATATTTCTTCTATAAAGAAATTGGAAGCCGGTTCTGAAAAATACGAAAATACCATCAAATAAAATACAGTTTAACATTTGACACCAAAGTAAACACAATTTAGAAGAAATAAACACGAAATAGAAATAAAATAATTGATTACTTGCGTGAATTTCACGGGAGGATTTTTGATCGGCGGCATTTTCGAACGGAACACGCTTTATTGACAGACGACAAGTATTTCTGTCGCTCTTCTCCTAAACAAGACTGTCTCAGGCGCATGCGCGAAGACCTTGAAATAAGAAGGGGGTTTCCAAATGCTTCGATAAGAATTGTTTGGAATCGCAAGGTCGTCCAGGCGGACGACATTAAGAAAAAATACAAAAGTTGTAATCTAATAGAAATATTCGATTCTTTGTAAATATCTCTCACAATTTGCAGTGATATTTGAGCAACTATCTCTCACAATTGTCAAAAATAGTCTTGTGTATTTTATAATCAGCTTAATAATTTCTGGGCTTATTTCGATCAATGTCCTGTAGCGTATCAAGCTATATTAAAGAACTGTTCAGTTTTTTTATAAAAAACTTTTATTTACAAACAACACAAACAGTAAAAAATATGAATTACCCGTAACGGGATAGTGAGAAGATCATAAAACAGCAAGAAAAACCCGTAACGGGATATAAGGAAACTCACCTGTAGCGGGATAGATAAAATATTGTAAAACAACTAGATTAAGTGCCCGTAACGGGATATATTCCACACAAAACTAATTCTAAAAAATCAACAACTTTCTGGTGTTCTAATTTTATCGTCTGATTTTATTATTTAAATTTATCTTTTTATGTGCTTATTTTATTTATGCTTTTGCCAGCCCGTTAGTTTTTAATATTTTTACTTTTATCCATTCTTTTGCAAACCAATTATCTTTCTTATATTTTTAGACTTTATAGTCCCTCTAAGCCAACTGAAAAATGTGTACAAAAAATGACTCCGACTTAATTTAATGAAGTCTATGGCAATCCACTTTTAATAAGGCTATTTTAAATAAGCTTTCACTACTTAGGGCTAGTTAGAAACTCTATGACAATATATCTGGCTAAGTGAACAGTGAGATAGATATTTTTTAATTTGCCTAAAGTTATTATTTAACGAGCGTAAAATAATTAGCTCACTGTCATAATTTCAAAATGTGTCAGGTTGTTTAGAAAATTCTTGTGACTTTTTATTAATTAGCCTTGCATTTTACAACAGCGGCTGTTGTTGGCAAAATCTCGACAGATTGTTATGAAGAGCCTTTGTATTATATTTTGTTTTAGTTCCTTGCATTTATTAATTAAAAAATATGTTATTTTTTTGCATTTTTTCCCCCTTCAAAATAAATGGTAAGGGCGGTGGAGAAATAAAGCTCCTTCTTTCTTTTTTTTTTAATATTTTGGTCAGGGTATAAATTTAAGAGGGCATTTATAAGAACTTTGGCCCCGCGCTGGGTCCATTCTTAAGAACAGCCTTGACGAGCAAAAAGTATGACTTTTCTTTTCTAGAAAGTTTTCTAAAAACAAAAAATAATAATAATCAGTTTCATTAATGCGAGTTGAATTTCAACTTTCAATATTTGCCTTTTAACTAATTTCAAATTTTTAGAGTGTCTACAGTCCCTAGTCAAATTATTAGATTCTATGTAAAATCTTAATTATCAGGGGATTGCTCCTGCTTGCACTTGTTTACGTTCCTGTATCACTCGCATAAGTTAGACGATATATTATATGGGTCATTCTCACAAAAACAGTCATTTTCATGTCCCCAGTATATTTTATGTTTGTTTTACAACTTACGAAAAAAAATTTTCAGGGAAAGTGTCCTTCAGAATGCAAGCTAACAAAAGAATAAAAATAAAATTATCAATTTTTATTTTTTATTTATTTTAGGTAATTAAAATATACCAATATGTCATTCCCTCACTTGTCCCCACTGCTGATTTAAAAAAAGAAAAAAATTGTTTCTGAAATAAAAATTTTTTTTTTACAAATTCGTGTTTTTTATTTCAGAATACTGAAATATAGAATTCAGAAAATCAATTTTAAATTTAATTTCTGATAAAAATATTAACACAGCACTATTTTAAACTTTGTCCCCAGTGTTTCGCGTCATTCCCTCACAACAATGTTCTTATCACCTGCAATCTTCTTAGAATAAAAATATTTTAATAAAAACTTCAGAAGTTAACAACTGGCATCATAGAACAAAATTGCAGTATGTTTCCATCTTCAACTTAAAGAAGCTTTGCTGTGGAATAAATTTGAATGAATCAAACCAGGTAAAATTTTTTACATTTGTCATTCCCTCATGTCATTTTTTAGAGTAAAATAAAATACAACTTCATCGAGAAAGTGGATAATTATATGTTGCTTTCTTGTATGAATATAATTGTATGTGATTGACTTCAGAAATTAATTAGGCCTAACTGTTATTTTTAAATTTTATTGAATTCGTCATTCCCTCACTAGTGTATAAAGTGAGGGAATGACGCTGAAGTGAGGGAATGATTCAAGATGAGTATATTATTAAATTTTTTTTTGTTCAATCGTGCCAGCCAATTTTATTTCCCAAACCTGTAAAAACTATTAAATATATAAGACTAAATTATAATAAATATTAGATATACTTAGTATGTTATCATTTTCAAACTTTAGGTAGATGTAACTTAGATAAAAACATGTATTAAAATAAAATATCATTCCCTCACTATTAGTGTCATTCCCTCACTTTTTAAATAGTGAAAATAATTAATTTACTTATTAATTAATTTGAAAAATAAATTAATAAATTGATTTATTAAACTAATTAATTTATTTATTAAATTAATTAATTAATTATTAATTATTATAAATTAATAATTATAAATTAATTATTTAAAAAATTAATTAATTTAAATATTAAGTATAATTTATAGGATATATACTTTCTTTATAATGCCATTACATATTTCTATTAATATAGAAAGTTTCAGAGCTTTTTATTCACTTTACTTTTTTGGGATTTTATGAACTGAAAAATGACAGTTTTCGTGAGAATGACCCATATATATATCCCCGATTAGATAAGTGAGACTATATATTATATAAATATAGAATGTTTATTTTGTCAAGTTTTATATTATTTTATTACAATAATTAGACCCAATGATGAGATTCACTGTAGTGTTTTAATAATTGCAAGTTTTGCACGATTTTATAGGCAATACTTAAACAAACAAGTTTATGGATGAGATTTTTTATACACTTCCTATTTGCATTTATTTTTAACGTATAACATGACAATGTTTACCCACTGATGCACGAGCGTAAAGAAGTGCAAGCCGGTTTCATCTGTCACATAATAAACAATAAAGCTGTAGACCTGATAATTAAGATTTTTACATGGAATCTTCATAGTGCGTCTCATCATTTGGAAAGGAACTGTACTAATTCTCATTTTTAAAAAAAAGAAAAAAAATATACACTCTATCTAACACCCTAAAACTTTTTGAGGGTGAAGATTAAAAGACATAAAAGTAAAAAACAAATTTGGTTGATTTTACGTTAGTGATTATTTAACTCATTCTCCATAAGACCGTCTACTTTTGGTTATGTTGCTTTGTTTTACTGTTCAATAGCTTACTAACATGGAGTTTTAGGAATATATTTCGATATAGCCATCCTATTTATCACAAAATTAATATTTTCAGAATAATTTTGAAAGCATTTGACCCGTGAATGAAATTCACCAGTCACCAAAATATGGACTCTCACTGAATAATATTGAGTTGAACAAACCTTGATTATTCATGATTATAAATGGAAAGAATTAGAATACGTTAAGGATGAAAGTGTATTTTTAACTGAACATTTCCCTTCATGAATGACTTTGAACACATAATGACACCCTTTTTATCGATGTCAATTTTTATTCCTATTCTTAACAAAGGCAAATAATTTAATTTCAAATGATTCGTCGATATACAACAATGAAAATAGAATTAAACAAATCACTGCGAAAATCGGTTTGAAACAGTTCGAATTTTGCTTCTCTCTCTTTGAACAATCTATTATTCATTCTTCTAATTCTTTCGTTCTGAAATATCTCTGGACGATGCTGGACATGAGGACCTGTCAAAAATGAGCAAACAAAAAATCTTCAAAGATCATATTTAGCATAAGAGTTTCGTCTATCAACCCATTATTAAGTCATTCATTATTTAGAATGCGAATAATAGTTTGTGTCTTAAACTTAATTTTACTACCTATAAAAATGTAAATGGAGAGTTACGATAGTGGAAAATCATATAAAGAAAGAAAGAAACACGGGTTCATTGAAAAAAGAGCACTTTGAAACAAAAAGCTCAAACTGTAGTCAATTTTAACTCTTTTTCTCATTTCGGGACGTCTCAGGCTCAGAATAGTTGAATTTAAAATTGAATCCATAATCATCCGTAACAGATAGGCTGGGATATTAAAATTCTTTGATTTTTTGTTAAATTATTGAGTTGTCCTGTTGTGAAAAAAGACCATAACGCTGCGCCAGAATTTCAAAAATGGTGTTCGTAACGGTTCGTATAAGCGAGGATATCACATAATAATTGGAGTGACGATGATGTCACCAAAAATTAAAATGTTTGAAAAAGTTGATATTTCTGTTGTATCGAAAGAGTGATCACTTTTGATGAAGGTCTTGTCGTGATAGGGTTAATGCGTGCTAAAAGTGTTCCAGACTCTACTCACGACTTCAAAATGTGACGTCAACGGACATAGTAATCTTCTTTGACCTACACGTCGCGAAAATCATACGCGACTTTAGAAATGAGTTTCCGTGATATTTTTGTTGCAATCCTATCTGGTATTCTATCCATAAAAACACGGTTATTTGAAAAACGATGCTGGATAAATTATTAAAGAACTGTTAAGTGTCGTTGAAAGCACAAAAGTAATTGTTTCTTCGAGCCTAATGTTTTAAAGTAAAATACTTTCAAATAAGTATTTTCTATTTTTATTCTTCATCATTACCACCAATACGATTCAAACCTCTTAACGCTAAACATAATGTATTACCATACCGGATCAAATGACCGGACTTTGATTAAATGCATGAAATATGCATGTTTTAATGGAGGAAATAAACTAAAAAAACTTTATTATAATTAAACAAAATTTTTATGTATTACAAACATAAAGAATAAGAATTTTAAATTCATTGCCACACGCACAGGGTGCTTCCGTTGTACATTATCAGCAAACATATTTCGTCTATTTATTATTTCCATAATTCTTATAATCATAAGAATATATAAAAATTATATGAATATATAAGAATTATAATTATTCCTATAATTAATATTATTTCTTTTAAGAATTGTGCTGTCTTGATTGCTTCGACATTTTTCTGGCTAAAAACTAACCTAGGTAATAAGCTACTTACCAAAACATTTAGTTTTTGTCACTTTTTCTGACTCAAAAATACCCATGTAAAATTTCAGGTACTTCTAATTACTTTCGATAATTCTTATTATTATTCTTATAATTAATATTATTTCTTCCAAGAACGTGTGCTGTCTCGATTGTTTCGACATTTTTCTGGGTAAAAACTAACAGTTAGTTGGAAATGAAGTAAAGCTATTAAAATGAAATACTTACCAAAACATTTAGTTTGGTAAGTAGCACAAAAATGCCAATCTAAATATTTAGATTATATTTTCTTGAAAATTGAATTCACAGTTATTCTGATTGAACTCACTACGCAACAGTCTTTGCAGAAACTCATCGAATGCAATACGTTGAACATCGTCATTTCTGATCGGATAACCTTATAAAGCCATAAATTATTCTTACTCTCAAATGACCGATTGTGGTTGAAATAGGTATACGACATGTATTATTCGAAACTAAGAAAATACTAAAATAATAATAATAATAATAGAATATTAACAGTATATAACTGTTAGAAAAAGGCATGAAGTTAAATGTGCAAAAACGATAAGATGATAAGCGATGCAAAAATTCTTAAACGGTCAATTGATGGTATGTTCAGAGTGTGTATTTCTCACAGTTATGCAACAGTTATTGCTTGAGAGCTAAACTCACCCCGTAAGCTTGTTCATCCACTGCTCCTCTGTCTTTATACTCAATGTAACAACATCTCTGGAAATACAAAATAAATTATTCAATGCTTAAAACTACTTTAACAAAGAATACTCTCGAAATATGTTTATTAGCCTTTAGAGATTTTACTCATCTATACATAATAATAAACGCGGCTGTGTGTGTGTGTGTGTCTGTAATCACAATATATCGCCCCAGAAGCCTCGCCCGGGCACGAAACTTGGCACATAATTGTGTTTTGACATAATGAAGAAGTATTTTTTTTCTTTTTCAAAAATTTTGATTAGTTATTTAGTTATCAGTCATTTTGTAAGTCTATGCTTTTCGTCTGCTTTTTCGTCTTCAAAGAGCCATATTCAAAAAACTATTAAAAAATGCATATACTTTTCCCCACTCTTATAAATGTATGCTAATGCGAACCTTACAATTGAAATATTAATTTTCGACAACTTAAACCAATAATATACGAAGGAATTAATAATTTAATTGTAAAGTTCGCATTAGTTTACATTTATTAAAGTGGAGAAAAGTTTAACTTTTGTATTAAAAATGTGGCAACATATTCGATACGTAAATAGAACGCTTCGCTTTGATATATTTGTCGCTGTTCATAATTGTTATAATAAGTTTTTCTTCTTCTTTCCACGCTCTTTTTTTTTTTTCTTAAGCGAAGACGATAATTTTTATAGCGATATTGTAGTACTTTGTACAACTAAAAATTCTTTTCACAACACTTTAAAAATATTTACTTTATTTTCTTTATATATACAGAGAACAGTCGGCAAAGAATTCGATTAGGTTGAAAAACATTTCGCTAAAAAGGAACGAATTCCAAAAGAAAAAATAAACAACTTAAAGAATAAAAATGCTGATGCCAGCCAATTTTTTGAAAGTTAACTTAGAAATAACAAACCAAACGATGTTAAATAACAAACCAAACGATGTTAACAAAATGACGTAGAAAGCGCAACTAGATCAAAATTATACAAGCACAACTAGATCAAATTATAATACCTGAGTGCTTGACGTAACAGATATAGAAATAGAATTTGATACCATAAAAAATTATATAGAAATAGAAATTGATACCATAAAAAATTTATTCGTTTTCGTGTTCTTTTCATGTATTTAGCATTTTAGTTTTTTTTTTCTTAAGCGTTGTAGCTATATAATTTCAAACATCCTCAAGAGCTATAACACATCTGCAGCAGAACTGGATATGAAGACAAAATTGCAGGACAGGAACACTTTAATTGTCCACTAATCTTCAGATTTCCTGCTATGTTTTAAAAAACTTTATTTGTGGAAACCTTTAGCGTGGCGGACAGCTGGCCGCCTTAGGCGGCTAGTAAGAAATACTTGTCCCGCAGTGGACTGATAGTAAAGACACGATTCCCAGTAGAACACTGAAGTCAAGCAAGGTGACCACTTTGCGTAGCCTGCGTAGGGACCGAGGGTGCGTGGTCCTCGTTAAATTGTTCTACTATAAAGTGTTCGTCTTGGCCTCCAGGTCATCGGATTATCAAGTAAAGGGAGCCATTCCCTCTGCAGAGGATCAAAATGGCGATGGCATGTCTTTGGATCATCCTCAGGGATGTTTCTCAGACCGTTGCCAATAGCCCAGCTCTAGTGCGACGTAAATAAAGTACCTACCATAAAAATGGGTAAAACTAAAGTGCTGCAAAAACTAACCCTTAAGTTTTGAGTGGCAACAATGGAATGCTTTTTCTACTAGTCTCATAAAAGAAACAAAATATAATTCATCATAAATATCAGTTATTGTTTAATTTTAGCAGTGTTTTAAAAATAAAACAAAAAAAATTTCACGATGGTGATTTAGACAAAATAATACTTGATAGAAATATATATAGTTATTATGTGAAGCTCATATAAAATTTTCAAAGAAATTTCAAAAAATATTTATGGACAAAATGAACGAAAATATATACTTCACGGGGAAAACTAACACTTAACGGGGATTTTTTGTAAATTTTAACGTAACCAATAGAGTTGTAGTATCCTTAAAAACTATTTTATAGTGTCCTTTTAAGTCTCTATTTTCAATGGCAGACACAGTTTTTATTTTTGTGTTTTTTAAAATTCGATACTTTGTAGATCTATTAGAGGTCAAATTCCACAATTTTATTAAAGTCAGTAAAATAATATATTATAACCATCTTCGAACAGCCGACCCAATTTTTTGGTTTAAGACTTCTAATGTTCAGCTCCGTTGCCTAGTCAATTTGAACCCAATCCAGAAGACAAGGGAACTCCTATACCAAGTATTGGTAAAAATTTGCTTTCGTGGAGGACTTTTTGATGGAATTAACCCCCATTTGCGTTACATGGAGAGGAAGACCACGAGAACTTCCTTCAGTTAGCCTGACGGCAAAGGGACTCTAACCCATGATCCGTCAGCACCGTAGTCGGTGCGAGCCAGGAGCGGAATTCGTATCTACCAGTCACCGCTGGGATTCGTAACCTCATTGGAAGGCGAACTCTCTTATCACCTTTGCTCAGTTCTTTGTGTAATATTTCGTTGGTTCCGTCTACTAATGAGGAAATTTCACGTCAGGCCCAGGACCGAACTGGGGACCTTTTGCGTATAAGCACTACACAACGGTACGTCTTATAATAATCTAGGCATAAAACTGTTGATTATCAAAAATGAAATCATACAAACAACTCATTTCCGACTTACAAATATTTGGGGGGGGGGGGAATCTATCTTCAGCAGACTTTAAATAGAACAGCAAACTTATTTGAAATTGGAACTATTTTACAAATTATTCCCAGACTTATCAAAATGTTTATCGCGTTATTATTCTTTCAAATTGAAACATTTTCAAAAAACTTGTCCTATTTTTAAACAAATTTAACTTAACTTTTGAGGTGATATCTTTAGATTTATCTGTCACAACTTCGCCTTCATTGAAAACTGGCGGTAAATAATTTCCTAGCACGTATTTGGAAGGAATTCTTGTTCAGCATACATGTTGAGCCGTGATGACTCATGGCGTTCGCCTTCCAATGAGGTGAACCGGGTACGAATCCCAGCGATGGCTGGTCGATAGGAATTCAGCACCCGGCTAGCACCGACCACAGTGCTGGCGTAAAATATCCTCAGCGGTAGACGGATCATGGATTGGAGTCCTCTTGTTGACAGACTAACCGTGGGAGGTTTTCATGGTTTTTCCTCTCCACATAACGCAAACGCGGGTTTATTCTCTCAAAAGTCCTCCACAAAGGCAAATTTCTTCAAATATTTGATCCAGGAGTTTCCTTGTCTTCTAGGTTGGGTTCTTAAAGACAAGGCGACGGAGTTATACATAGGCAGTCTTAAACCCTCAAATGGGGTCGGCTGTTCAACGACTGTGCTTTATCCATCTTCTCCTCAAAATGTGCGAGTTAAAAACCCGAGTTCTTCGAAAAAGAGAGAATATTTTTTCGAGTGTATAAGTTGTGTGAACTTCTACTTTAAGCGTATCCTTCAAAACATTAAGATTTCATTTCACATCCGAAGACATATCTTGGAATACTTTTTATTTTTATTTTGGTTCATTGTCATTTTGAATTATCACACAAAAGCAATCTCAAACACATTTGATTCTTTTTCCTTGCACTTTTATCAGTTATAACCTATATCTAAGATCCAAAAGCGAAATATTATTATTATTAATAAAAACGTTAAAGTTAACTACTCCGTTAGTACACACTATACATATTATACTGCGTTTGTACTCAGATTCTAACCAAAGTTAGAATCTGAAAATGTGAATCAAAGTTAGAATGTGAGGGGGGTTGCAGTTATTGACTCTGTCAACCTTCATCTATTAAAAGGTTGAAATGTCTTATATACAAGTGATTTGGTATTTAATATTTGTAGTGGTAGTTACGGTATTAACTGTCAAGGTAACGTGAAAAGAAAACTGACGTTTTACGTGTTAATAACAGAAAAAGGGATTTTAAAGAAAAGCTGTACTCACCCTGAATGACCACTTTGCCGCAGCTCCTGGTATTTGATGTGTGGCTGCCCAAAAGTACTTCAGACATGAATTGAAAGAGTGGAGGGTGGGAAAGAGGTTGAAGGGACTTGGAATGCGGGTAGAATCATCGAAGAAATGAACCCACAGTTTTGTTCGAGCGAATTTGAATTCCACGTCAGCATTATCCTGTCAATAATAAATAACAACCTCAATCACTTTAGATCAGGTAGGGATCGAGAGAGTGACTCATTCATTATTGCGAACAGTTCTTGAGAAATCCGAAATTTAAATGAATGACTGTTTTTAGAAAGAAAAAAAAATTATCTCAGAAACTATTCGACTAATTACTTTCAAACTTTGTGTATTATGGGAGTGGAACTATCTGTTCCACTTATTTTTAAAAATTTTACAAAGTACTAGAATTCTAATAGTTTTTTTTATTTCATACACTACGTGATTTTTTTTATCAACCAGTTTGAACATTTTAACAGGCCAATATGCCAACATTTCACGTTTAGGAAAAAAGTAATTTAAATGAAGGCGATACATTTATTTATTTTCTTAGATAATAACGAACCGGCGGAGGAAGATTGAAAAATATTATAATGAAAAATCTCATTAAAAAACTAATATTTTTTAAAGTCGAACAATCTAAGAATTTCTTTTTTTCATCTTTTATATCATTATACAATTCTTTTTATATAATGACGTATATTAAATTTGAATAATTTTCATTAAAAAAAAAACGAAGAAAAGAAATTGTTTTGCTTAAATTGTTCAAAAACTAATGTAGAAAATTTCTCAGAGCTTAAAAATATAGCCATGGTACTTCATTTTATAAAAGAAAAATTTATTGATGTAGTCATCAAAATTAATTTTCTGGAATTTTCTCTACTCAACAGAATAATGCACTGTAACAGCTGACCCCCGAATTACTTCCCTTCTAGGAGGATTTTTTTTTAGGGAAGAATCTGGAGAGAATTCAGACGAGAGAGAGACTTTGTGCCATCTCGATTGAGAAAATATTTCTCTGATTATTATGAATGTAGTGTTCGGTGGGGAAAGTGATTATAATTTTTCTTGAACTGTATACATAATTGTAATCCAGAAGATTCTATTAAAAAAAAATAACTTTCGATAAGAATACCAAAATGGTTAGAGCACGGAAGCATCTTGTGTGAAGTATAATAAAGACTTACTATAATGTTCTGGAATGTGTTGGATAGAATGGCGATGAGGGTGTTGACGAGAGCGATGATCATCATGAGTTCGTAGGTAGCGAAGAGAGTGAGGCCGATACCCTGAGTGAAGTGATGATAATTGATGACTGGATTCTTCTTGTCTGTCGTCAAGTTCTCTACCACCACCTCCGTCGATTCGACAGGTGACATACCGAGCATCCCCCAGAACAGGGTGAAGAACGAATTGGGAATGCTACAAAAGAAAGAGGAGACATCTAAGAAGATTCATTTTCAGGCCACCCCTATTCTTCTGTTTATTTACCATTCAATTTATAAACCAGTTTCATTTTTAACTAAAGAATCAAAACACTTTATGTATATCGTGATTTCCTTAAATCGATCTCGCAAAATTTATAAAACACAAAGAAAATTCTTATAATGGGTGAAGCAACGTAAATACAAATCTCAATAACAAAATATCAAGCCAGGGATACAAGATTATATTTCCGCATAACGGAGAAATATACCGGTATTCATTTCCGGATGTAGAGTGTTGCTATTGTTTACACTCAGTCTAACATTTATATCTTCGATCGATAAACAATTTTTATTTACCTTGCAATAGGGGAGACCCATAAACTATTGGGTACCGTACAGTTTGTCTGAAATAAGAACTCCTCCAGACATTTGTCTGGACCTGTGGCGGTGACCGTGGTAACGAGGTAGGACTATTTCAAGTAGGTGTGTGGGATCACTGTTTTGGAGTGGTTCGAGAGAAAGGGGGTCGTTTTCTTCCGTCTATTGTGTTAGTCCTAGAGAGAAGTTACCCTCCCTAAAGTGCGCCATGTTTGTTTCCATAGCACCAGACGGCCTCAGACTTTGTGGCGGGAGGAGCTCTTGGCTTAGACAAACTATACAGAGAGTAATTTTATGATCACGTCACGCCATTTCCTATTTTTGAATTTTACCTTAAACATGATACACAAGAGCCGTGGTGGCTCAGGGGATAGAGAGTCTGTCTCCCAATGAGCCGAACCGGGTTCGAATCCCGGCAATGGCTGGTTGTTTCGAAATCCGCACCCGGCTCGCAGCAACCACAGTACTGACGTAAAATATCCTCAGTGGTACACGGATCATGGGTTTGAGTCCCCTTGCCCTCAGGCTAACCTTAAGAGGGTTTCGTGGTTTTCCTCTCCGCGTAACGCAAATGCGGGTTAGTTCCATCAAAAAGTCCTCCACGAAAAGTTACTCCCGAATACTTGATCCAGGAGTTTCCTTGTCTTCTGGATTGGGTTCAAAATGACAAGGATACGTAGTTGATCATTGGTAGCCGTTCAACTGTTCAACGTAGTCGTTATAAAATAAAATAAAAACATGTTATGCAAAATATTCAATCTCTGAATTGTTCTGAACATAATCCTTTTTTTCCCTTCTTTTTTCTCTTTTCATTTAATGGACCACCAAGATAACATGAAATTTTTTTTCCTCCTATATACTTTTCTAGTTTCGCAAATTTTTTCTTATGAGGTTCAAAATAAAATAGTACAGTCTTAGCGCGAAATCCCTAAATCTTTTATTCTCGAGAACGGGTCATTTACGAACGTCTTTTTTAACAGTTTTTAAAAATTTCTGAACAACTGAACAGAACATACGTTTTTACAGTCCATATTATGAGACGCACTCTAAGATTCTACACGGAATCTTAATTATCAGGTGATAACTGTATACAGGCTTTATTGTCTTTATGAGGTTTTGGCACTTGTTTACGTTCGCGTATACATTGTCATGCAATGCGTTACAAATAGGAAGTCTATAAAAATATCTTCTGTATAAAAACCTCATTACATGTATGTTTAAACATAAAAGTATTGCTTGTAAACTCGTGCAAATCATGTCATTATTAAAGCACTACAGTGCGTCTCATCATTATTATAATGTACTTATATAATGTTTGATATAATGGATATTCTGCATTTATATAATATATTGTCTCATGTATCCTATTCGTCGAATTCATAACATACATTGGTCTCATTTAACCTACTGATACACGAACATAAGGGAATGCAAACCGGTTTCATCCCAGTCAAAACAATAAAGCTGTAAAGTATCATCTGATAATTAAAATAGAATCTTAGAGAGTGCGTTTAATAATTTGGACTGTAGGAATCTCAGGCAAAGATTTACTCATAAAAAGAAAATCCAAAAAATTTTTCCCATGAAAAACATAAGTGAATCTAAACGTGTTCAACAGAAGTTATTTACAATAAACTAAGGCAGTGATCTTCAAAGTTTTAAAAAGGAATCCATATGAATTTAATTCCTACGTACGCTGAAAGTTTCTAACACAACAACAGCTGATAAAATGTCCCTTTATTTCAAGTATCAATTCATTTTTTTTTATGAGTTGATTTACTATTGTGAAGAGAATGTAATATGATAAATCAATTAAAATTGAACCAATCACAGAACATCAAGCCTATAACATTTAGGAGAGCACTTTTATTGAAAAAACAAGAAAAGAAAGAAAGCTGCAAGCAACGTGAAACTCATAAAAGAAAAGTGTCGCATTATTGTTATTCTTTCAAAATCTGTCGCTGATCGTATTTACTATTTTAGATATAAGTAAAAATTAAAAGCTGAGGGTGATATTTTTTCTTCCTTCTGACAGGGGCTATAATATTTTCTTTTACAGTGAATGCATTTATGATTTTGGAACTATAGTTAGCAAAGTAATAACACTAAAAATAATGCTTGAATATCTTTCTTGTCATTTTTTATTTTGTTACGCTATTTTGCTAGGTTTGATTTTGTTTGGTTTTGTCGGTAACATTAAGTGATTCATTGAATAGTTAAATAAAATGATAGAAGTGCAAGATTTTATGATAAATAGTGTTTGAAATGAACTATTTTATAATCAATAAACTGCAGAACATATTGAGGATAAATTATTCATGCTTTTTTTTTTATTAAATTTTTGTAAAACTATATCCCGTTGGGAAGGTCAGTGTAACAAAAAAAGTTTTCACATCAAGCAAAGTTATACTTTAAATGAAATTAAATGTGAGATTCCTCAGCACATAATATCCAAGTAGGGATATCAATATAATGTTTAAGGGTGACGACGATAACAGAAGAAAGTTTTTTTATTACAATTTTATGAACATAGAGCAAGTTCTTTTTTTTTCTTCAACCCATTGACAAAATGGGTCTTGTCCACACACTTTTCAGCTGTGTTCAAGAAAGAGCATGCATTGCTATGACAACCGCTGCTGTTTATCATTTCACTAGACAGGCATTTTTAATGTGTATTTACATCATTTAAAGTATTCTTTTTTTTAAAACTATTAACGTATAATTGACGGTTAATATGAATATGAATGCTGCTGCTGAAGGAGGAGGAAAAGTGTGTTGAAACACGTGTACATCGGGGCAGACGACAAACATGCATGGAGACAGCAACCCATGATTTGAGTCCATGCAGAAAGAGAAGACCCATGGGTAACCAGTGATCGTCATAAGGGTATCAAAACTTTTTCAAAATATTAATGTGGGACAACCAGTGTGTATAGATGTATATTTTTTTTTTAAATCGCGTTTAAAATGAAAAGGGGCCAAAAAGGCATGCACGCGCAAAATAAATCTTATAGGGTAACACTACTACTCTGGATATGAAGGATTCCATGCAACCAAGCATCTCCTGTAATAAATGTGCAACAAGTATGGAAATGTTAATAAAAATATAACATTTTCTTTTAATATATGTTAGGTCTGATTGTCGACTTTCACCGGTGTATTTCAACAGTCAAAAAGTTACTTTGATGAATGTCAGAAATATATATTATGTCAGATATTAATTTATATTAGTGATTATAGCAACATTATTTCGATCACTGATATTTTAATGTCCGATTAGGATAAATTAGAAAGAACAACAATGTTGGGAGAAACCGGGAAAATGAATAAAAGGCCGAACTTTAACTTTTAAAATGAATCAGTGTAGGGAATACCGGGCAAATATTTTTAATCTTAAAAAAAAAAAAACATTAGAGTATAGCGGCTGTTATCTGGCCCAGTATTCAGGTATTGATTTTTTCCCCCTAATCAATTCTCATCAGATATGAAAATGATGGAGGAATAAAGTAACCTATATTGTAGAGATAACGTACTTGCTGAAGGATGATAGTTGTGTCCTGGTTTCACCCTTTGCGTTGGTCTGTGTCATGCCATCGTAGTAGGCGTACATCCTGGTGAGAGGGATGGCAAATGAAGAGTTGATCAGCATACAGAGACACAAAAAGTAACCTATTTGAATCGCCATCTTACCCAAAGACACCTGCAATAAGACTTTCAATTGAATTGTAATATGCGTATCAAAATTCAATAATGATTTGAATAAACCAATCTGTCTCTAAAAGAACGAATTCTTTACTCAAATTATTTTCTCTCTGAAGGCATTGCAAAAATTTATTGACTGAAAGAATCTGCAGTTTAGCGAAAATGATAGAAACTAAGATTTTACAGGTCATTAAATCTTAAAGACTTCATTAAACGCTTCTCTTAACCATTTTTTTTGAAGAAAAAAAAAGTGCAAAAAATCAATAGATTTTTATTATTTCATTAATGAATACAAGAAACTAAAACGAAACATTATGCATACATTTTAATTTCTTATGTTTAAAAAAACATTTAACTTACCACCGAATTATCTCGGACCAATGAAAATGCATGTCATTTTTTTGTTTCAAAATTCAACGAAATGGGTTCAATAGAAATCAAATGAGTTAGTTGCGTTCACCAAGAGTGGACAGTTGGCTTCGCCTTTATCACGTGGTATGCGACGATACTATTTCGATATTTTTGATAGAAAGATATGAGCAATCCTAAACATGGTTGGACAAAAATATTTATTTCACACACTTTGTGTTCATTTCTTTTAGCATTCAATATTTCATAAATGTATTGATATTTCGCGCTACTTTTTATGATTTTTTTTCTCCTTTGAGTGAATAGTTTGTCCTTTTTGAGACATTCTGCTGGAAAAACAGCAGTTTTTGAATTTAAAGTATATTTAATGAGCTGGAGAAACGAAAGGTAGATGATAAAGCTAAGTGACTGTAAAAGAATTCACTTTTTGTGTTTGGCGCGCATTAAGGGTTGTCTCTCATATTCAAGAACAGAGATGCTTCGTCCGAATAGGTGGAGCCAACTCCTGGTGAAGGCGAACTATAGTTGCAGAAATATTACCTGTAAAGGTCCGAGACGAGAGCTCTGTAGACAGTAATAAGCGAGTTTACCAAATGTTAGGACTGTTGCTATAGCCAGAAAGCCTTCGTGAAGTAAAGTGGAGTCATTACTGGGCCAAAATTTTCTCTCCATGGCTTTCTTCTTCTGAATGTGTTCAGAGACGACATCGATCATAGACCTCACCCAAAAGAAAAATGTCAGCACAAAAAAGGACTCCAAAGCAATGTCATACCTAAAGAAGCACTCATTCATAAAAGATTCGAACATTCTTAATGTCTATTCATCTAAGAATCGAACGACCCGCAGTGGACTGATCATTACGACACGGCTCCCAGCAGATCACCAAAGTAAAGCATCACTGACTGCTGTCAGTGTGCGGGTGGGTGACCCCTTGGATCAGTCTGGGTAGTGACCAAGGATGTGCGGTATGGGTACTCGGTAAACTTGTTCTACCGTAAAGTGCTCGACTTCTTTGCTTGCAGGTAGTGACCAAGGATGTGCGGTATGGGTACTCGGTAAACTTGTTCTACCGTAAAGTGCTCGACTTCTTTGCTTGCAGGTCGTCGGGCTAAAGAAACGGAGGTGCCATCCCCTCTGCAGAAGATCAAAATGGTGATGGATCATCCTCAGGGATGTTTCCCAGACCGTCGCCAATAGCCCATGGTGCAGCTCTAGTACAACGCAAATGAACTACAACTAATGATAGAACGTACCCGTTAGGGTCTAACCTAAAATATGCAAATTAATGAGTGCAGTTACTTAAGTTTATTAAATCAGACATAATAAACGTTCTTTCTCTGAATAAAAACACCTTTTTTTCGACAGATTTGGATAAATGGCAGCACTCTAAGAAATTGGGTCCAAAGAGTTAAGCCTGGAGAGTGGTCAAAAGTTTGGACCCTTTAATGTTTGTTATACTTTTTGCATATTTTGGCGATAACTGTTTATGCGAATCGAAAATTTTTAAGGCCACTTAATAAAATCCATTTATCCAAAGATCATCCCGAGCAAAAAATAATTTTTAATAATTATTATTTTTTTGATTATTTAATTATTAAATTTAATTATAGACGAAAAAATGTCGAATTGAAAGTTATATCATTTTAAAGAATGCAATTTTATAGAGCAGAATATAAAATTTGAAGGAAATTAGTGGAATATTTCTCCTTGTTCACGTTAGTGGAATATTTTTTGAGAAATTGAATTGATAATTGAGGAACTGAATTTTGAATATCAATTTTGAATATCAATTTTGACTTTTTTAAAATTTAATAATTCCAAAACTAGGAGACCCATTTCGCTTAAACTTTGTATTCTGCCCTATAAAATTAATTTTTTTAGAATAATATAAAATTTACGTGTAACTAGCAATTCAAAATGTTTCGACTATTAGTAAATTCAATAATAAATTATTAAGTGATTTTCATTATTTATTATCTTCATAATTTATACCCGTAATTTATTGTAATGCATAGAATGTATTTTAGAATTGTGCTCTCTTGAGATATCGAGAAATAAGCAAAGCGAAATAAGAGAGAATTGAAATAACATGAAAGGGTGTTGACAGCTGTCTTGCCTAAACTATTGGCGTCAGATCCTAGAACCATTAAGATTGAGTCTTATTACCTTAAAATACGATCATTAAAATAAAAGTTATTTAAGGTTTTCAATTTTTCTCTTTCGCATTGTACATATAAAATTATGTATTCAATGATGTGCATATTCAATTAGGTATGTTATGTCTCCTACAGTTTGTATTCACAGTATAAAATTTAAGGATTCTCACATTCATTCAAAAATAAAACCTTTTTTTTTTTTATAGGAAAAGCAAAAGCATTGATGCTTGCAAACAGAAGAATTTTGAAACATTCTCTGATAATAATGAACATATAATTTCGAACGTAAAAAACTGCTAGACTCAAATTCTTGAGAACGGGAGTTCGAACCCAGCAGGCCGAAGAGTCCCCGTGTAGTAAATGGTGACTGGGGCATGCTAAAATTGTCGAGTCACGAAGTCCTCCCTGTTCCCATAGCAAATAATACACCTGGGGGTACTGGATTGGAGATCGATCTTTCTCTGGTTCAGTTCAAAATTACGATCTGTTGATGAATGAACGGATGCATAAATGGGCTCGCCCTATAAACGGGTGTAGCGATGAGTGTGGCAGAAGTCGACTTCTTGGCCATAGATGGCGCCACTGGAAAGCAGGAACACTCGCACCCCTAGTGCTTTAATGACCTACGACGACAACAGCATTAATTTTTATTACGATTAAAAAAAAGTTACAATAAAATACTGCGTAGATGCGCAGTTGGAAGATATTTTACATTAAAATGAAAAGTTTGCAAGCAAAACATTTTAATTCAGCTCAAAATTATTTGTTTATAACAACAACAAAAAAGAAGGACAGAATATCTTCACTCTTCTCTTTAAATTAATATCGAATAATTTTTTTTTTTCACTTTCGAACGACAGTGTGGGAACATCTCGGAGCGAACTCTAAAAATTTCGAAAGTCAGGGACACGCCCAATGCCTCTGTACTGAATTCTTGAGATTTCTAATCGTCAATCCTTCTAAGCTTGGATGATCGAAAGAATACTTTATATCCATGTATGTAGCTTTTAGATTAATCGTGCATATATTTGTAAGGTTCTGATAGTTACTTTTAAATTTTTATTACGTATGTTTATTTTTAGCTATTGGATAGTTTTGTGCAATGTCTTGACCCTCAGAAAGACCTTGAACTTGGAGGGGTGGGTTAGATGTCGCACCTCTCTCCCCACACCACATCTCATTGCTGTCAGAGCATTTCTTAACTTGGACTTCGAACAAAGAAGTTCAAATTAGCAAGCTCTCTCATGAGCAACATCTCATTGTACACTGCAGCAGCCGCAATAGTTTTCTTCAAGTATATAGTTCATCTATTTTATTAATTTATGTTCAATAAATGTCTAATCAAAACTATACAGTCAACATCATAATAAAAACAATTAAAAAAATTTTTTTTCATCACTATATATTTAGCACAGGTGTCTCTAAAATCGATAATAATTCAAATATGATATGAAGCGGGTTAAAAACTTCAGCATAGCCTATATTTCATGTATACTATTGTCTACTTGGACTATAGGCATTCATATGCATTGCTTTCTAATTATTATTAATAGTAGGTTTTGAGGGATCATTTGGTGGACACTTTAATAATTTTTTATAATTTTTGGGTTCAAGTGACAACTTTGATACTAATACCAAGTCAAAGGACATGTGTCAAAATTTCCAAAAACATATACATATGCTAAGAAATATGTTTAAAAATATTTAAAGAAATATTTTATTTCGTCCACGTCGTTCTATATGTAATAGTTAGCACAGGTGTCGCTAGAATCGACGATGTTGTAAAATATGGTATGAGGCTGGCTAAAAATGTCTGCATAGCCTACATTTAATGTATACTATTATCTACTTGGACTCGAGGCATTCGTATCCATTGCTTTCTTATTATTATTAAAATGATGAGGAAGAACAAGAATTATTTGATCACGGAGATCCAGAAAATGTTCGTAAATATTATGGGGCCCCAACTTAAATGTTTAACAAAAGCTGATATAAATGATGAGGAGGAACAAGAATTATCCTTAATTTATTGGAAAGAGGGAATTAATTTATTGGAAAATTAATACTTTTTGCACATTTAGAAATTATTGGCTTAACTACTTACATAAGCTGATCATTAATGGGGTAAAAAGTATCGTTCGTATAGAAGAGGTGCACAGTTTGGAACAAAAAAACTTTATTACATAATTTACCAGATACTAATAGATAACGAAATCAGATGTTTCAAATATACAATTTGAAACATTTAATTTCGTTCGATAAGCTCTAAATTATAAAATTAATGTTGCTTTTTATTTTTCTTTAGTCAACACAGCACTAAACTTCTTTTTCCAATAAATTCTATTGACCGACAACTAAAAGACTGAGAATGATATTAAAACCTTTATATCGTTTCGATTTGGCAATTGAAAAAAAAACATTTTTTGACTCTATAAGTTTGTTTCGTAGGTACAAATTGTGTAGTTAATCAAATGAGGAAAGTTCTAATATTTTCAGATATTTGTGTAACCATTCGGAAATATCCTAACTATCTGATTTCCCCGAAAATAAGCATATTACGAAGTGACCTTACCAGTTCCAAACGACCAAAAAGAATCTCCTAGCACCCTCTGCCCAATATCTTCTTGCGGTTGACCAGATAAAACCCATCACATAAATGACCACAATGACTTCCATTCCTGCAAATGCAAAAGTGAGAAACAGGAGTACAATTTGCGGAATGAATTAAAATTAGACAAAGTGCATATACATTCCATGTTGGTGTCATAAAAATAATGTAAATTAATAAAATTGTGCACGAATTTACACTTGAGTCAATAAATAATGGAGTAACGAATTGAGTTAAAAAGTATGCAGCACTGTTATTGTAATATATAAGATTGATGTTTTTTGTTAAATTAGAACTAGCCCTCATTGACTTTTTATCATCCAGCATTCGAGCCACTAATGCTTTCTGCATTTAGAGATTATTTAGGTCCCGCATTTTAAAGACCTTACAACACTGAAGTCAAGCATCACTGGCTGCAGTCAGTAAGCGGGTGGGTGAGCACTTTGTTCAGCCTGCGTAGGGACCGAAGGTGTGCGGTATCGGTCCTCGTTAAACTGCTTTACAGTGAAAGTGCTCGACTTCGCGCAGGTCATCGGACTACCAAAGCGGGGGAGGCTTCCCCTCTGCAGAGGATCGAAGTGGCGATGGCATGTCTTCGGATCGTCGTCGAGGATGTTTCCCAGACGATAACCCATTTGTGCAGCTTCAATGCCACGTAAATAAAGTACCAACCTCTGCTTTTCAATGACGAAAGAGAATTGCTTGATTGAAGGGGGGGGGGACATGAAATTATTTTAATTTTTTAAGTTTGTAGTATCAATAATTTTTTCTTCTTCTTAGAATTTTCTTAAAATAGCTAGAAAAAAGTATTGTAAGTTAGTTTCGAACAGCAAAATTTCATATCGCTTGGTAGTTAAGTTAGAAAAAAAAAAGTTTATTTTAATCAGGTGACAGCAATTCTAAAAAGAACTGCAATTTTTATTCATAAACTTGACTATGAAATCGTAACCGTTGACATTTTTGCTCTTAATGCATTCAAAAATAGAAATAGTAACTAATTATCTGATGTGTCGGAAATAACGCAATTTCTTTCATTTCGGTTTTCTTAAAAGTAATACTATCATTGGCTGTAATATCGTTAAGAGTTGATTTCGTCACGTGACATGCAGCTGGGGAAAAAAGACAGAAGAAGAAATGAATTGTAAAGGTTTAGCTTTTTTTTTTTTTTTTTTTTTTTTTTTTTTTTTTTTTTTTTTTAGCTTTCTCTTAGCTTTCTCCGTCGAACTTGAAAAAGTTTTTTCTTTCTTAATAAAGAATTTATATTCTTTCAGATTTCAAACTGAGTTTGATGAATTCAGCAAAATAATACAATTACTTAGAGGGTCTTTGAAACAAAGATTGGAATGACCCAATTGAATTATGATGAGCTAAATTATGTTCATTTCAAATACATAAAAATTTGGTACTGAAATTTTTAGAATAGTACAAAGATTTACATTCATTTCAATACACAGTTTACATCATTAAACTCATGACAAAGACGATAATTGATCTTCCTCCATTTCTTGCGAAGCAACTTTGGGGTTACAGTTGAGGCTATGATTCGATTTCTTAAGGGAATAATATTAGTCATTGTTCTCTTGTGTCTTTGATGCAACTTATGAAAGTCTAGAGGCCATCTCGTTCGAAATGAATGAGGGTCCGTTTGTCCAAAACCATTCCATTTCATCGGAATATTTATCAGTAGCCCTTCGGACTAGCAATCGTTGAAAATGTATATTTTTCTTTCCCAGTTTCATGTTTTTGGCCTGCTTTTGTCACAAAATAACGTATTTCATCCTAAATGTGTCCCTTGATGTACTAGAATTTTTTATTTAAAAAATATAATGAATCTTATAGAGACATGTTAACGAACGAAAGAAAATGTGAATGGAACTAATCCTTCGAACCAGTAACTTAATTTCTATCTCGGGCACCTAAGTTAATGGGAAAAATAACATTCTTTCACTGCATTTTAAGGCAAAAATCATTTCTATGTGCCGAAAAAATTATTTTCTAATGGGATTATTAGAAATTGAATTATTCCATGTTTTTTTTTTTCAATTCCTACCATTAGTTCACTTTCTCCCTATACCTTCATCAAATTTTCAATCGTTCATTCAAATATTTTTTCAACATTTATAATCATTCAAGTTCAAATAAATTTGTTTGAACTTGTAATGGATGGCACTTGATGTTGATACAGTTTTTTCAAATATATTAATTCATTCATTAAGTGGAGATGAGCGTAAAACGAAATGGAATTTTCTGATGGGTTATATGGCTTTAAACTTTAGTGAAAGCGATTCAGTTTTTCACACATTTTAGAAATAACACCAGTGATCATTTCTAACTTATAGCTCTATTTAAACAAAAAATAGTTTATTGCTCACAATTAAATATTTAATTATTTTATAGTCGCTGTGTCAGATTAATTTAATAAAGAACGTGACGTGTGGTCCACGTCACCCAATTTATACTTTTATAGAGTTGTCTGATAGCCTTTTATTTTCTTTCCAATTCCTTCGATTGGTTATCACACTCTCCCCTATATATCTTGTTCAAATCTTCAATTCATTAAATTCAAGTAAAAATACATATTTCTCATACTTGTAGTGGAATGACACTTGATGCTAATACAGTTTTTTCAAATATATTATTTCATTCATTAAATTTAATTTATTAATTAATATTGAATTAACGAGAAAAACTGTAACTGAAATAAACATTTATCTTTGTTGATCCAATTGACTTTTTCTATTATTGTAAAGGAAGTATACCTGTGTTGGGGGGTCCTCTCTTGTTCCTTCCGGTGTCCAGGTAGTTGAGTAGGAATATAAGGAAAAGGAAGAATAGAAAAGAGGCTAGACTCATCAAGTAACGGTTCAGTGGTGAGTGGTACTTCTTGAGAAATTTCACTTCTGGTACAATGATGAGTGCAAAGCAAATGACGGGTAGAAGAAGAATGCGTACCAGAACGTGAAGACACTTCCAGTGGAGGGGGAGGCGAGGCCAGGATCGAAATTCTCCCAACCAATGTGCCGTCAGAACTTGTTGCACCATCGAATGAGCTACAAACTATAAAACACGCACATCATTTCAATGGAATGGGATTCTCACATCGAACAGAATGATAAATTATTATTCGGCTCAAAAGACTTTCAAAGCCTCATTCAGGGAATGGATGAAAAAGAATTGTTGATACAGATCAAAGGAATTTTTTCATTTAAGAAAAATTTCTTTGTCTCCATCTTTTTCGTCACGCATTGGACAGATCGTTAAGACACGGTTCCCACCACATCACCAAAGTCAAATCTGGTTGCAGTCAGTGTGCGAATGGGTGACCACTTGAATCAGTCTGCGAAGGGATTGAGGATGTGCGGTATGGATCCTCGTTAAACTGTTCAACAGTAAAGTGCTAGACTTCACGTTCAGGTCGTCGGGCTACCAAAGCGGGGGTGCCATCCCCTCAACGGAGGATTAAAATGGTGATGGCATGTCTTCGGATCATCCTCCGGGATGTTTCCCAGACCGTAGCCAATAGCCCAGTGTTCAACTCTAGTGAGGCGTAAATGAACTACAACAACAACAACTCATCTTCTTTTGAAAAAATATAAAGAAAGAAAAAGAATTTAAAATTTTTTTTTTAAATGTTCGTCGTGAGAACCCCCTCCAATGGCAGGGCTCGATTTTTCCTTTGTGGGTAAAACTCCTAATACGCAAATGAAGCAGATTGTTTGATTCTGGCTATTTTGATTTCAATTCAATACGTCAACAAATCATTTTCTCATGATAATTTAAATCGGCAGATATCCGAAGAAATTATTTTTCGAATTCGTGATACAGTAATTGAAAGTATGATGACTTACAGAAATTTTCATTGAACATCGAGCATTACCCCCCTCAACTCTTTTTTGAAACATGTGTCAAGAAAACTAAATATTTTAATTGGAATGCGTGGACGGAATCAGGACATCCAGTAGAAGGAAACTAGGCAATATTCTCGGAGTGCCAGATGAAAAAAATAAACACATAAATAAATAAAAGCGTAAAATTTAAGTTTATGATTTACATCAATTATTTTGTTCATTATTTTCTTTGTAAATTTCATTTCAAAGGGTAAAATAAATTCATCGATCATGCTTCTCCTCAGAGAATTTTTTGCGTGGAATTGCATATGAATTTTTCACCTACTCTAACATGGCTCATTTTTGAATTAAATGACACGAGCTTTGCATTTATTTGGATGTCTGTTTTATTCTGAAATGGCTACCCGGGATCAGATAAATATTTTTTTTTCTCGGTTAACATTCTTAATTCTTATAGAGTGAAATGTCTCGGAGACAACAGTTAAAAATGGTCACCTCTTTTTGGTGATAGTCTATGGCCAACTGCAACCTGGGGAAGAGTGACCTCTCGTGTTCTACATCGAATCCTCCTGGAAGTTTCAGAAGAGTTTCTATTTCAGATGGATTCCGACACTCAGACAAAAGTGAGACCAAGAATTTCCTCACCTTCTTTCCAAGTTCAACATATTCTGACTGAAACAACAAAAACTTTTGCTGTTATTAACATTCTAAAAGAATTATGTTTTTTAGGCGCAACAGCTAAATAGGTCGTTGAAAAATCTGACTCTTCCCAAACCTTTTGCAACGCTCCTGGCTAAGTTTTTTTTTCCAATTTTATTTTATAACCGTTGTTGAACAGTCGATTCAATTTTTTGGGGTTTACAGCCACTCATGTCCAACTCCGTATTCTTGTCATTTTAAACCCAATCTAAGAACACAAGGGAAATCCCGGATCAAGGATTGGGGGAAATTTGCCTTCGTGGAGGACTTTTTTGACGGAACTAACTTGTATTTGTGTTACACGAAGAGGAAAAGCACGAAATCCTCCCACGATTAGCCTAATGGCAAGGGAAAGGACCCTGATCCGTCTACCACTGAGGTTATTTTTACCTCAGCACTGGGGTCGGTGCAATGGCGGAATTCGTATCGACTGGGATTCGAACCCGGTTCACCTCATTGGAAGGCGAATGCTCTATCCTCTGAGCCCTCACGGCTCGATAGAGTTTGAATTTTAAAAATTTAGAGTTAAAAACTTCTATTGTGATACATTTAGCTGTAAAAGTATTTTTCTTTGAAATATACTTGAGCATTCTTCGGCCATTGTTAGTGACGAATGCAAGGTTTCTCAGTGTCATCAGGGTTAATTTTTATATTCCAGAAATCACTGACTAAAATTAAACACTTCATTTATTTATGAAGGTTTCTATAAAAGGTAGTCATTTGATCAAAAGTCATCTCTACCTTTCTTTCATCTTTTTAAAAGTTACTGGATTCCTACTCATTAGTTCAACACTCTCCCTACAACATATCTTCTTCAAATTTTCAATCATTCATGAAATATTGAAATAATTCATACATTCAAGTTCAAATACATTTTTTTCAAACTTGTTCACAAATATTGTTCATAATACTTGTTCACAAATACTTGTTTTCAAATATTAAATCATTCATTAAATTTAATAAATCAATTTTAGTTTTCTCAATGTGAGAAATTTTTTTAAAAATTATTTAATAAAAAGTAACTGAAATAAAAAATTTCGTTGTTGTCTTACGTAAGAATTGACTTTTGTATTAATTGTTGAATATTTTTTTATATTACTTCTTTCTTTAATAAGACTCCTCAATTTGTTTATCAAATACTGATTTGGAGAAGTAGTCTATGCTCCTCAAAAAGCTGATAAGTCTGACGTCGATCTTCGCCCTTTGAGGTACAATTGGTAATTGTTCCTGCATCCTATTTATCTTGAACAAAAACTAAAAAATCTTTAAAAATTTTCTTAAGTTCACTTGAATTTGCGAAATTCTGTGAACATGACTTGAACAATGTAGCCCTCTATTATCATAACTAGTTTTGCGAGAATATTCGAAAATTTTGGATATCTTTAATTTGTCTATTTAAATCTATTCCATTTTTTTCTTTATTCTTCTTTACGCTTTGCTTACATTTTTAGCAATCTTATTTTTGTTTATTCTAATGCCCAAAACTGTAAATTCTTTCACATTTTGGTTATTTGATTTTGATTTAACAAATATTACCTTTCCTTATTCTATTTTTACATTCTTTATTTTTATGTATGAATTTATTTTCTTCATCGGAAATATTATTGCAATCTTTTACCTGGATGTCAGAAGGAAAGTGTAAGACAAGCTCCTTTCATAATCAGAATAAGTGAATCAGTTTTCTTCGATTTTGAAATAAAACCTGTTTCAAGCATTTAATCACCCATTGAAATCCAACACAAGCTATTAAACCCAATAGTGTGTAAGTTAAATCAGTCATTAAAATATAAAATTTAACTAACCAGGCTATAGCTCCAAATTTCACGTTTAAAGTAAAAATTACCCTTTTTTTTTAACATTTACAAAAAATTTTTCTTCTCTTTGGACATTTAATTTTTCAAAAATTTTAGTTTTGGGATTACTTTTAGAGTACTTCCTGTGTCGGACATTTAAAAAAGATAGTTTTATTCATCACAATCAGTTGTTGGTCATTTTTATTTTGAAAGCATACTATTCATTTTTATTTTATAACCGTTGTTGAACAGTCGACCCCATTTTTTGGGTTTACGACTGCTCATGTTCCACTCCGTAGCCTTGTCATTTGACCCCAATCCAGAAGACAAGGGAACTCCAAGATCAAGTATTGGGTGAAATGTGTCTTCATGGAGGACTTTCTGGTGGAATTAACCCACATTTGCGTTACATGGAGAGGTATGAGAACCTCCCACGGTTAGCCTGACTGCAAGGGGACTCTAATCCATGATACGTCTACCGCTGAGGATATTTCCCGTCAGTACTGGGGTCGGTGCATGCCGAATGCGGAATTCGTATCGACCCGCCACTGCTAGGATTTGAACCCGGTTCATCTTATTGGAAGGCGAACTTTCTATCCCCATCACGGCTCGGATACTTTTCATTGTCAATTGTGTAGTGGGTCACTTTTTGCTGGGATTGATTCTCAGCACTAAAGAAGCTCACTTTGTTCTCTATGATAAAGGATCGCTAGTTGATCACAGCATTTGCATGTCCCCGAGAAGCAAAATGACGTGTTAGTGATCTGTCAGGAATGTCCCATTCTATTTTAACTATCCGTTAAAATACATGTTTCTACTACGACGCGTTTAATTCTGACAGCTTTAGTTTTAGACATTGTGTAGCCTGGAGGGCCCATTTAGATAAGAAAAGAGGGGTGTCTCACCCTAAACTCCTTGTCCATGAGAGCGCATTCACTCAATTGGGCATCCATGAGAAACCCATAGAGGATTGGATCGTCTGTCACCTGACAGGTGTAGGCAGGATTGCAGAGTGCGTTGTAACTGTTGAGTCGAATTCTAGACTGTGAAGATCCTGCCTGACGAAGGATTGCCTTGCATTTGGGACACAGACCTATGAGTAAAAAAAACAGATTTTTCTCTCTTGAATTTGTTTAGGTTGTACCACTTACGTTACGATACCTACCCTATTTGAAAACAAAAAGGGTTTCTTTTTTTCCTGGAACATTTAATCCTCAAAGTATGCAATAAAGAAACTATTCATCCTAAACAACTTTTAATCTAATAATCGGATTTTCAAGTACAAGGTCTCAGACTTAATGGTCCGAAGGTGTGACCTCAAATAGGCTCATGAATGAGTGCAGACGATATTTTAAACTGCGAAGTCAGACACAAAAATATTTTTTCTCTACATACCTTTTTGCTTAAATTTCGTAATCACAAAATATAAGAGGTATCCGCAATCCGGGAAATAGGATTCGAACACTTTGATCAGGAAAGGGATCACAACTTTGGAATCCTTCCTATTAATTTTACTTTTTACATATTTTGCCCTTCCTCGACACATTTCTAAGCATATCAAAAAGATTTTGCACACAAGTATAAAATTCGATAATCCATAGGTGGTTCCATGCAGAAAAATAATTTAAAATAATTATTTATTACTTTTATTATTTTATTTTATTGCAATCGTAAAGAAACTTCGAATCCTATGATACACACATTTTTACATTATTTTAAAGATCGATAGGGCAAAATACAAAATTTGAATGAAATCGGTCTAATAGTTCCTGAAGAAACAGAAACAAATATTAAATATACGTCTTTTTACTTCTCAGGCTGATTTCGTCCAAATTTTATCTTTTATCCTATAAGATTATATTATTGAAAATGATGCAGAAAATCGTATGCCTTATCATTCAAAACTTTTTCGACAGTTCTTAAATAAAATAATAAAAAAAAACCTATAAGTATTTACTAAAATTAATTTTTTACAAGTCATTATCTTTAGGTGACGAATTTCATAATTGTATTGCAAAAGTTTTTCAATTCGCGTTATCATCAAATTTATATTATATATCGTCTCATTTAACTAATTAATACACGAACGTAAGCAAGTGCAAACAGTCGCATAAAAGCAATAAAGCTGTGTAGTATCACATGAGTAATTAAGATTTTACATAGTGCGTCTCATAATTTTGCCAGAGACAGTATAGAGCACCTTAATTTCTGATACTAAGATTACTTGAAATGTGAATCAATTTTTTCTGGGTCATAAAAACTCTTTAGAAATGACGAAATTATCCTTTTGACACTGTTTGAAAAAGAAACGAAAAAGTGTTCTTACAGTTGGGTGAGTGAGGTTCTTCTATTCGATGACCCCTTTCTAGAAACATTCGAACCATTTTATAGTCTCCCTTCTGTGCTGCCAACAAGATGGGTGTGATGTCCGGTGAGTAATTCGGACTCTCTTCACATCCTTTCATCTCCACCTCTGGGTATTCCTTTCTGCAAAAGTAGAATTAGGTCATCTTTGTTGATTTCCAAAGCCTCTCCAGTATTTACTAACGAGCCTGCCCACTTTTTAGGCTTACTATAGTTTGTCCAAGCTAAGAACTCCTCCCGCCATAAAGTCTGAGGCCGTCTGGTACTATGGAAACGGGAATAGCGCATTTCAGGGAGGGTAGCTTCACTCTAGGATTAACTCAATAGACCAAAGAAAGAGATTCTCGCCGACCCGAGCCGAAACCACTCCAAAGCAGCAACCCCGCACCCCTACTTGATATAGTCATACCTCGTTTACCCTAGTCACCTCCACAGGTTCAGATGAATGTTTGTGGGAATTCTTATTTTAGACAAACTATACAGTGAACTGAATACCTTAATGCTATTTAGAAAATATAACGTTTATAACTCAATGAGATCGATCTAGTGAATGCTTGTTACAAATTACTTTTTAAAGTTTTACAGCAATAATTTTTAGCAATTCAACTTGATTCTTCGCACCTAAAGGCGGCACATAGGTTGAATGGAATAAAATAGGGAGCAGACTGGACAAATACTGAACACGTTTCTAATGAGTCAGAGGCATGCATTGTTTGCATCATTCCGGGTTTTTCCAACGGTTATAAATCTTTTCAGAACAATTTCAGCGGCAGCTCCGAAATTCGGACTGTGAATGAAAGGGATAAGTTTCGCCCCCGATCCTAAAATATGTTAGATTGTTCTTGAGAGAATTGAATTTTCTCATTAGCTTAGAGCTAGCTATTGATTTAAATGAAACTACAGACTACTTTTGTTTTATTAAACATCTTAAGGATAAAATCAGTGATGTTTTATAGTTTATAGCTCTTCATTAATTAAAAAAACGAGTTTATAGTACGTATTTAACATTTTTTTTCGCTATGATAACTCAACTCAATGATTAGTATTTTTTAAGTTTCGTGAAACCTCGTCTTCGATTTGTTTTTAGTTAAGCTTCTAAAACATCATTAAAACTAAATAATTTAAAATCAATGCTGGTAATTGAAATAAAAAAAAAGAAGTTATGTTCTCATAGGACAAATGAATGGAGAAATTATTCTAATCCTTTCAGGAGATAGGTAAAAAATAGTCATACTATTATTGACGAAAATAATGCTTGATTAATTTTAGTTATGGGAAGTCATTTTATTTTATTGTATAACCGCCATTGAACAGCCGACCCCATTTTGGGTATACAACTACAAATGTTCAACTCCGCATCTTGAACAAAATCTAGAAGACAATGGAACTCAAGAGTTGGGAGAAATTTGACTTTTTAATGGAACTAACCCGCATTTACGTTTACCGCATTACGGAGAGGAAAAACACGAAAACTTCCCTCGGTTAGACTGACGGCAAGGGGACTCTCACCCATGATCCGTCTACCACTGAGAATATTTTACGTCACCTTCGTGGTGGGTACGGAATTCGTATCGAACAGCCATCACTGGGACTCAAACCCGGTACACCTCATTGAAAGGCTCTATCCTCTGAGTTACCACGGTTCATGGGTAGTGATTGAAATAAAAACATACTGCGTACTAAAAAGAAAATGAATGGAGTAAGGGAGTATTCGCTAAGCAGAAACGTGAAAAATCGCTACGCTATTATTGGCGCCATTTATACTTCATTCAATTCGGTAATAAGTAATAATAGAAATTGAAAAAAACTATTTAATAAAAATAAAAATGAATGAAAAAAAATGGAATTAATGCGTTAAGGAGAAACGTAAATGATCTTCATACTGATTTTGACACCTACTATACTTCATTCATTTTGATAATAGAATTTGAATGACAATAAACACAAAATATGTTATTTACAAAAAAGAACAAAATAATGGAGGAATTGTAGTTTAGGAGAAACGTAAATAATAGTATTGTGGTCATGAATGCAATTTTAATCGTTACGAAACGTACTAATGTATGCACAATTGGGATATTTGATATATATTTTAACTGCATCAGTACTGTACATTTTTAATATAGACACAGTGGTGTTGATTTTAGAAATCGTAGAAAATGGTTATCTTTTTTTGATGAGATGTTTTGTTTAATCTAATACCGTGGGTAAGGATAAAAATAATTTGAATTATTGTCTTGTATTTCAGTTATGTGTTAAGAATTTGCAGTTTTGTATTCATCCCCTGCGAAGAACAGGTAGTTATATAATGAAGTAAGAAAAAAATGATTAAAAGATGTGCGTTTTGATTTGTTTAATATTACTGGGGGGGGGGAATCAAAATCATTAAAATGCTACTTATTGTTTGTAATAATGTTTTATCAGGAAAGTGAAGAAGAAGAGGTACTTGATGGCTTCCATGATGGTCCTTGTCAGTTCCACATTCCCAGTTTCTGTTGCGAGTAAAATAGTGTCTTTAATCTCAATCTCGGGTCTTTTAAGAAGAAGTTTGACCATGTCTTCGTTTTCCTCTTTGACGGCTATATGCAATGCTGTCTCTCCTTTGTAATTCACACAATTCACATCCAATTCCCGATTAGCCTGTTATGATAGGTGAGAAGCAGCATTTCAAACAATCACAATGTTATTTATTTATTACTCTAAGTTGTCTCTGAAATCATTGAATGTCATGAGATTCGAGTAGGGGAATGTTAGCTTTCATTTGTAGTCGAGTCATTCCATCAAAATGTTAGCTGGTGGGGTTAAAGCACTGCATTACCTTGCTCAAGTAGCGTCACTCTGTCACTGATGACGTGGATCGTCATTTGAGTGACTATAATCCCCCAGAAAACAGTATTACTTTCGTTGGAAGACCTTCACAGAGCCTCTGCTGTGGTTCTTAACGCATTGGACGGACAATAGATAAATGGAAATGCGCTACTTGATCAAAAGGAATTTCGATTACAGTGGAGAAGTTTGGCACTAGAACGCAATGAACCCTAATTTTTAATAAGGCACACTTCAAAAATTTCATATAAATAGAATTTCGAAATCTGCTTGAATAAATGGCGTATTCTCACAACCTTTCGAAATAAAAAAAGTATTCAGAACTATGTCGGTAATCTTGGGGAAAAAATACACAGAAACACAAATACCATTTACTTTCCCTATTATTTAGATTATTTTAAACGTTTGTCCATTTTTCAATACAATTCTCTCATGTTCTACCACATCCCTTCTGTGAATCTACCATTAGAAATGGAGTAGATCAACCTAGAATCGCATTAAACGCTGCTATGAAACATTCAGATGGACTTTTCAAAGACTTCTCTAATCAGCACGATCTCTCAAAACAGTTTCAAGGGAACCACAATAGGCACATTTCCTAGCTTTTAAAATTTATTTTTTTTAATCATTGTTTTTTCATCGAATTTTAATTAAATTAAACAAATTATTTAATTTTTATTACATTTTGTAAAATATATTATTCTTTTCTTAACAATCAGTTTAACGACTCGCTTTTTATTTCAATACTAAGAATAAATATGATAGGAAACATTTCGAGAACAAAAATAGAAAACTTACTATTCTAATAAAAATTACCATAACAATAACAAACAAAATTTTCAACAGAATTTTTCTGTTCCACATTATGAAACTTTTCAGAGAAGTTTTAAATATTTCTCGACCCAGTGAACAATTTATAAATATAATAGAAATTATCAAAGTAGAAGGAACTTTTGAAAGCAATAGAAATTACCAGAGTAATAGAGATCAACCTTATAATCCTGGCACCATTTTATAGAAGCAGTTCTTAGTCCATAGTGGGAAGTAGTTTCTTTATAGAACTAAAGTATTGTGGCCTCTTCATTTACACTTAATTCATTATCACACACTTTCTACCTACATATAATTCGCTCATTTAAAGGGGGCTGCTGGGGGATGATGATGAGAAAATCTTGTTGTGACATATAAAAAGTATCGAAACGCATTAGTAGATATTGCGTAGCAAAATAGTCAAGTGTTTAAGTTTTAAAATGATGTAAATACTTTTAAAAATAAACAGATTTTTTACTTTATTTAAAAAAACAGGAAACTACATTTTAACGCGTCATTGTGTGTTCGAATTAAAAACTACATGTATTGTTGCTTCTTTTATTATAGAGTTTATGAAGTAAAACGTTGATAAATTTGTGACACATCAACATCTGAGCAACGGTTTTAGAAAATGGCGGACGAATTTGGAAAGCCGGAGAATTATTCAAAAATGGATCCTATATTTAAAATAATGTAAACAAAAAGTGGGTCATCTTTGTCAAAATAAGATACATAAGAGTTGATGTTCCCAGCTAAACATTAAAAGGTGTGAAAGGGATGCTTACTGTTAAAAACTTTTCCACCTCAGTCACACCTCCATCCTCAATGAGCTGAAAGAAGATGGCTTCCTCATTTCTGAGCTGAGCGAGGGGAAGACTTCCTCTCAACTGTGCCACGTCGCTTATCACAATTGTCTCCTCAGAAGAAGAACTCTTGTTCTTTTCCTCTTTTTCTTGCATCTCTTCACACTAGAACTACATGAATGGAGTTATTATAGACAATAGTAATCAATTCCTTATCCCCGATTCCATCCCACACCCGGATTTCGAGCCAGATTCAACAATAAGTCTTCAGAACTGAGAATCAGAACTTCGGACCCAAACGAAGATACTGATTCGAATAATCAGGTAGAGTAAGAAAGAAAATTTCGCCAAATATATTTTCCCGTTGTACACCTAATTGAACAAAAATTTAGGATCAGTTTGAAGACTGAATATTCATTTATCATTTACTGGGAGGCCGGAACAGTCAGGTGGGTAGAGCCTATGTCCAAGAGATCGTGAGTTCCATCCCAAATCGAAGACTCCCCGCGCAGTAAATGGTGAGAGGTGCATGCTAGATCTGCCAGGTCAAAAAGTCCTCTATGTTCCCATAACAAATCACACCTCTGGGGGTACCGAATTGGAGATGGCTCGTTCTCTGGTTCAGGACAAAATTAAGATCAGTGGATGAATGGATGGGTCTTCCGAATAAAACGGGTGTGACGTGTGTGCTACAGTGTTGCCAGGTGCCGATAACCGTTCACCCCCAGATGGCGTTGAAAAATCCCCTAAAATTTTTTTAAAAAAAGCCAAAATCTTAAACTTAATGTATAAGTATTAAAAAATAGTACAAAAGTAAAATAATGTTTAGACTTTTGTTGGTTTAATACTTTTTAGTATTTTATTATCAACAAATTAATAATGTGCTGATAATTAAAAACAAAGATGAACAATTGCGCCATTAATTTACCTTTAAACTGCTTTTAGTGTTCCCACTCTTTCTTGCGCTTTTGTACATACTTCCTTCTTTCTTTATCATTTGGCATTGTTTTCAAACCATGCACATCAAAAATTTTATATAATTTGAATTCAAATTCACCAAACGTACAGTATGATTGAGCTAAGTAATAACTTAATACATTCAACAAAGGGGTTAAGTTCTAAAATTAAATCTTAATCTTTTTGTTTTGGTTTAACATATTGATTTTCATATTACCATCTCACACATTCAGTTTTAAAATTTGATATTTGAACGTAACCAAAATGAATCTAGTAAAATTCACAAAGAACCCTAAAACAAACCCCTAAAAACAAATTCCCCTAAAATACCCACTGAAGATAAAAAAATCCCCCTAAATTTAGGGGGAAAACCCCTAATCTGGCAACACTGCCCGAGGGCCAAGGGTTCGAAACCTTGCGAGGGTAGATATT